TTTGGGGCTCATGATCTGGGCCAGCGGTTCCATGGTTTTCACCCTGTACAGGCACATTCATGGGACCAACCTCTCCCCCAGACCATCCTCCGAGTCCAGGATCACCCAGAGTATTATTGTCCTAGTGAGCACCTTTGTATCATTTTCACCCTCTCTTCAATCCTTTCATTATATATCTCTCTTTTTCTTAAGCCCAGTTGGTGGCTGGTGAACACCTCTGCACTAATCACTTCTTGCTTCCCTACAATCAGCCCCTTTGTTCTTATGAGTCGTGACCCCAGAATATACAGGCTCAACTCTGCCTGCTAGAGGAGGATTACAAAATTCTGTAAGCCAATCAGATCTCCATTTTGTGTGACTTGTCTGCAAAAGAACTGTTCAAAAATGGCCTTATGTATGCTAAGCAACCAACACCACAGTCATCAAAACAATATCCTTTGACCAATGTGTTTTCATGACTGCTGGCATTCATAAATAGCTTGAATTCTTTGGCAGACCTGTGTAAAAGGCATGTCTGAACTACTCAAATACACTGCTCTCACAAGACACAACAGGCCCAAACTAGTTACAAAGACAAGAATGTATGGCAGAGGGCATTGCCATGATAAAGAAACAGATAAGCTGAGCACTCAGACAACTCAAACGCCATTTACTCTTTGGCCATTTTCCTTGAGTGAACTGGAGAAGTTGCTGTGCTTGAGCACTCACTGTGTAGTTCCCCTTGAACTAGAGCAGTTACTTAAGAACTCACTTTTCAGCTCCCCTTGCTAGAATCTGGAGGCACTGGGATCCTGACAAAAGTGAATCAGCCTTTTCCACCACACTAGCTTAAGGTATGCCTGGCCCAGAACCTGTAGTGATTACCTATGCTGATGTGTTAAATGGAGGATAGTGTTCAATGACAGCTCCATCCTGGTGACACCCTCAGACTATTGGAGTAGAGTTTCCTCCCCTCCTGCTGTTGGTGTAGATACTGGACTTGAGCAGGCTTACATGTCTCTGTCCTTTACCCTGCTATGCTTGCATATGTGTTAGGACAATTGATATGAAGAAAGCCTTGATATTGTGGAAAGACACAACTATAATCATGAACTAATTCCCCGCACTATTGACACGGTTACATGCTATATGGGTGTGGTTATTTCTCTTAATTTTGGAGTGGGTACAAAAGTCAGGAGATTTTTTTTTTGTCTAAAATCTTTGGGCCATAACAAAACCATTGTCATATCTCCCAAAAATGTGTGTGGGGGGGGCGAGGGGCTGGAAATAAAAGCCTTTGTTTTAGGTCATGTTGCCTAGGTTAATCACTGAGCTACTGGCGCAAACCATCTATCTCAAGTAAGCAGCCAAACTGCTGTGTCTCTGTGAAAGACAGAAACCAGCCCAGGCCTGAGAGAGAGCCAGGAGGGAAGAATGCAGAAGGGAGTTGAAACCAACCCCATTCCAAAATGGAAAGCCACAGGGACTGCATGGTCAACTGGATGGAGCTCCAGACATGGGTGGTGTCTCAAGATGGGCAGCATTGTGCAAGCCAAGATACTGTCTAAGTACTAAGTTAATGATAGATGTCAATCTTGTACTAGGAATAGCCTACAAAGAATGTCATGTATATTGTGCACTGCTCTTTATAGCTGAACTCACTCACTGCTTATCTGCTCTGGTGCAGTCTTGCTTCTGCTACAATACAGCTTTAGCCCCATTGCTTTAACCTTTTCCTTGTTTCTTGTCTCAATTATTCACAACACCCTAACTTCAAGCCCTGATTTTCTCACATCTGGCACCCAAACATGGACATGAAGGTAGAAGGACTCTAAGAAGTAAAGAATAAATGTTCAAGTATTGGAGGGACTGAAGGGATTTGAGAGTTGGAATAGCAAGACTTTTGGGATTCAGTTCAGGGTGAGTATGGAAAATACTTCTTTTATCATGAATCTTATTAGCAAATCTTACAGACTCTACTCAAGAATTCTGGGATTAAAGTAAAACAGATTACTTTTGAAGAACTTTTTAAACTTGTCCATAAACATTGCTATTGGTTTACTCCATCTCAAAAGGATGCCTCAATTATAAACAATGAAAACTAATTATGAGGAGGGCTCATCAGCAACGTGAAACTGTTCCTTTATCACTATGGTTCCCTATGTAATCTTATCTTTTTAGCTTTAAAGTCACTTCAGTCAGAATCTGGGAGAGAAATTTCATCTAATAAGCTGGAATCAAACAGAAAGAAGAAACAAATGGATTCTCCAGAGGATGAAGTTTCAGGTTTAGAGAGTCCACCACCTACAAAAGAGGAATTCTCTCTGCTGCCTAAAGAATGGGGATCTTATCATGAGCTTTATCCTCAAAAGTAAGCTGTTCACTCAGCTTTATACCCATAGAAGCTGATGCTCCATGATATAAAAATTTATTTTTTTAAATTGTATATAGGCAAACGTCTGTAAAGCCTACAGCCTCTCCACTTTCTTCTAATAATTCTTTTAATGATACTTCTGCT